TCCTATTAGCCCCTCTAGTCTTGGCATTAGAGCCTAAGCTCTGTGAGAAAATTCTCACAGGCGTGAGATAACGAAGGAAGGCCTCCTTCTTCTCCCTACTGCGCGCTAGCGCCTTAGCTGCAGGTGTTGAAAGTGCTGTTAGTCGATTCCTCGTGGTCGGTTCTCCTAGATAGCGTGCTTTCCTAGCGGTTTCCAGAAAACTCGAAGTTGGTGTCAGACGTATAGTAGAAACGGTTAAAAAGGGTGAAATATACTAGGTGCTAAAGATACTTTAGTAATTTACGTATCTTAGTAATTTATTAACCGGGGTTATATAATATGCGAAGTAAAAATAGTAACTAGCATGAGCCGTGTAACGGCGCAGGTAAGGCAGGTCGGATCTGTTTCGGTCGTAGGATCACTTAGAGGCATATGGGAGTGCGTGGGATCACAAAGAGCCTAGATTCAACAAGCCACCTATAGGCCTTGTACGAAAGGATATCAAAAGTCTACAGAGCTAGCTACAGGGAGAGTCTCAATATATACCTATCCTAGTCGGGTCCGAATTCGGATCCGACCTCGGGCGAATGGCTGATGAAGGGCGGCAGGTACTTCCTCCGATCCGGCTCTGGGATTGGCTCAATACTTGGCGAAGTTGTAACATCGTTACAAGCCGTGCCCTCTGCGGGCTAGGCTGATTAGCCTACCCTCCCCAAGAGTATACAACTGCCCAATGTGAATACCAGCACCATATACTGAGAGACCTAGCTCATGATACCTATACTGTACTACGCGGCTACGTTACTCTCGCAGTAACCAAGGTTACTAGTACACTAGGCCTCATCTCTAGGCGTAATAAAAGATCGTATTCCTAGTTTTTTTTTTTAAAAAAAAAACTTTAACATCTCTAACTTACTTGGTTAAACACATAAACGGAGTATACACGATATCAGCTACACACCTAATCATAAGACCTACCACTATAGGAGAGAAAACACGTAGATGATACTCCTAGCTCTATACCATCCGACACCTCGCTCGAAGGCGGCCCTTCTTAAGGGGGAACCTTGGCTCTATACAGTCCCTTGTGAACGGGTCCAGGGACAGCGGCATCAGCCGCGCCCTCCCTAACCTTCAACTCCAGTGCCATGTTGCGGACCGCCACATTGCGGTTTCCAACGGGAACCGCGAACGCGAGGGCGCAAGTGGAAAATCCCAAAAGGTATATGAGCTTCATTTGTGATTGTGTCGTGTATTACGTGGCGGAAGTGGTGTTGGACAAGGTACAGCGAGAAGTTGGTTTGCAGGATATTAAATGGCTGGGTTCACGAGTGCGGGGGGGGGAAGGGGAGGAGCGAAACAGGGTTTCAGAGGGAGGGGGGCATTGATCACTGCAGCACAGCTTGTTATATAGTACATACGGAACAGTCTGAAGAGAGTTTGTCGTGGACGCAGGTCGCTGCCCCGGCGCCGAAGACTGAAAGCTCTGACAAGTAAGCAAGCGCTAGGACGCTGTGAAGCTGAGATGGGTTCGGGGGCCCCTTCTTAGACGGACTACTCAAGATGCATTACTTATCCTTTTCTCTCTCTCTCTCTCTCTTGTGAATCCATCTCAGATAACTCTCTTTGGGCCAGCACCTTGTATCCCAGCAATTTACTAGCTACAAAAGACCAACAATCCATCACCAGTACTAAGTAGGCGAACGCTAAGTCCAAAGTGTCATCAGCACAGCGATTGCCTGAACCTTAACACACACACACACACACACACACACACAAGGTTCCAGGAAAATCCCGGTTGTCAGAAAACGATTTATCCTTTCCGTCTCCAACTCTCCTTGGTTCCCGCTCTCCCTCCCGCGGCCCACGTCCTAAAAATAAAAGTAAAAATTAAAAAAAAAATCCACCCCCCCGGGAATTGTGGAACCGCTAGGTACGTACGGAGGTGCCTTTTAAAAGTATTGTCTGCCAAGAATAATCTAACTGAAGTGCGGCCGCCTTAGCCGAGGCTTGTCTCTCCCCTCTATGTACTTATTACCACCTTGTAGCTTAATTATCTTTTGAATATGTACAAGAATTCGCTTGATCCAAGCTTAGATCTTAAGTTGTGAGAGATCTCTCTAGCAGTTCTGCTAGACTCTAACTGCCTCAGCCCTTAACTGCGGAGCTCCTTTCTGTAACGATGTTACAACTTCGCCAAGTATTGAGCCAATCCCAGAGCCGGATCGGAGG